TTATTATTATTATTTTCATCATTATTGTTTTTTGTTGGTGCTGCTGCTGCTGCTGTTGATTATACATAATAAAACATTCGGATTTATACGACAATCAACCTTTAGTTCTATGTCATTGATTTATTTTCAGTGATAAGTACTTAATGTCGTCATTGGCGCAGCCGTGTAACATTTCAAACAATTTCACCGTGCATCCCGAGCGGAGGTCTCACTGGGGAAGAGCGACCGTTTTGTATTATTTGAAAAAAACTTGGAAAAGTAAAAAAACAACGAATCCAGGTAGCAGCGACAATGCTAAGTGAATAATTCACTTGATAGATTTGGTCGTGAGATCGACAATCAATGTTTTTGCTGTATTTTTTGTTGTTGTAGCTTGCAGTTTCAGTTTAGTTTTAGTAAGGTTTTACGGCGCTCGCAACTGGATCAGGTCATACGAGCGCCAAGGATGGATGTCAACAGAGAAGTCCAAACGTGGCCCCAGACTTACTTTGCTCACCTCTCTAGCCTCAACAGCACAAAGTCTGCTTCGACTATCAAAGCACCCCAAAAATAGCAGTTCACATGAGAATGACAAACATACAAAAGAAGTGGAGGAATACAACGATAGTAAGGACGAGGAAAGAAAAAGCGGCAGCTCCGCCCCATTCGTATCATTTTAAAGTTTGTAAATTTTTGTTGCTTTTAATGGAAAACTTCCAATCTATCTTGAATATAAGTGGAGATGTTTGGAATTTAAGGGGTGTGGTTCATTTGTGTCGGAGGTAAAATTCCCGAGAAAATGGCAGCCAAAGTTTAATGTCTTCTAAAACTTGCGTGTCCGTGGTAACTGCAAGACACACATTTATATTTTTGTGCCTTTAATCAACTCCCCCCCCCCCATAGAACCCTCTCAGAAATGGACATAACAGGTGTTAAGCGAAAAAAAAGTGGATCGATAAAAACTGCTTGACGGGAAGTAAAAAATGTCCAAATTTTTCTAGTTCATTATTTTGCCGAGCGCCTCATTTCACAGTGATGCCACGCAAGTCCTCCTTTCAGATGAACATTTTCCATGGTATCTTAGAGCTTTATGTACACTACACGGGAGTAGGCGCTATGAAATGACCTACGTTGCTGTTATTATTATTATCATCATCTTTTTCTTCTCCGCCTAATGTACTTGACGGTATAGGGGGAGAGTAAATAAGCAAGTTATTATTATTATTATTATTATTATTATTATTATTATTATTATTATTATTATTAGTATTATTATTATTATTATTATTGTTAGTTTAGATTGTTAGGAGGCGGGTTATTTGGAACGCCCATGCCACACCAACACCCTACACTGAATGGCATACTAGTTGACACACAGACATTGGTCTATTCAGTATAACTTTTCAACGATGGAATAGAACTCGGGTCTTCTGATTTGTTTTGGTTTAGAGTCTTATATGGCACTTACAACACAATTAGATCATATTCATGCCGGATATAAAAGGTGTTACTAGATGGTAACATACAAATAAAAGAAGGAGGAGAGATAAGGACAATAGATGTTTGATAGGAAACAAGGAGCGAACCACACCAGAACACCAGCCAACCACCCACGAACTCAGGCCTTCTACGTGTAACGTAAAAGAGCCTAACCCGCACCCATTGCTCCACACACGTATCTTTCTTCTCCATCTTCACAACAACAATAACGACAACAGCAATACACCATTCTGCAATAACAACAATACGAACAATCTACAGAACAGAAAACAAACCACCACCACCCCCCCCAAAAAAAAGAAAAGAAAACTACGGAAACACATTTACAAACGAAGACGGCTATGCACCTTCCACTACTGAAACGTAGTTAACAATTAAACGGATAGCAATAAATTGACATAAAACCACTTCTCAAGATGAAGGTAAGTTACAAAATTTATTTTTCTCTACCAAATTAATGAATTGTGCACCACTATTCTCTCCTGAAATGTGTCTTAGCTTATTACTAGGAATATTTACTACTACTAATAATAATAGATAGCATTTGTATAGCGCATATCCTCGCTCAACAGCAGGCTCTATGCGCTTTACACTATATTATTACCCCAGCAGACCATAGAACACTCCGAAACATTCTCAGCTTCCCAGGAAGCATACAGTGCAAGCAGCCGATTAAGCGCTCAAACACTAACAAACTGACAAGATCTTTCGCTATACTACATGTATAAGCCAAGGGAATGTGACAAAATAAGTAGTAATACTTAGTAAAAGTAGCAGCAGCAGTATTAGTAGTGGTGTAATAGTTGTTGAGAAGCCGTCTCAGGGTAATTCAAAAAGGGAACCTTTGTTACTTTTCAACCAAAGCACAAACGGCCAGTAGTAAATGCATCTATAAATGTAATAGAGGGGTCAGAGCACACCATAGCTCCCATTAACCATTCACACTGTAATACTGTTGGCAGTGATAGTGGTCGCAGTTGCTGAACTTACCATGACAGGTGATAGCAGTGACTTCGGGTTAGTCTGACCTGTCTATCCGATAGCAATAAAAATCCATAATATTATTATATTCTTGAATTAATAAATAATAAACTTATAACATTTATCTCAAGAGTTACATTTAGCGACTACGAAAACGGTATTCAACGAACAAACGAATAAACCCAATGGAAAAAAACACCCAACAAACAACACACACACGAAAAAACGACGCTCCGACAAATGGGAAATCGACATTAAAAAAAACAGAATATAGGAAAATACAAAAGCGACGTCATCGACTACAGCAATAGTATCAACAGCAATTATAAATGCTAGGCTAGTAAAAATGAAGCTAGTTCCACACTTGACCACAATTTTTATAAAAAACGCATGCACAACTAACCATTATTACCCTAACAGAAATTACCCCCCCCCTCCCCACCCACACACACAACAGCCGAAAGAAGACTCTACTTTATAAAACAGCAATAAACACAAACGAAAGCAACCAAATACCACACTGTACATGTATTAAATTTCTGTTCTCGGCGTCTACTCTCTCAATATCGGAACAGCAAGTTCTTCAGATTGAGGAAAGGCGTCTCGAAGAGCAAAGAGACGATTGTGGCCGTGATTGCTGTCATAACGATGGTCGAATTCATCAAAACGAACTGAGGAAAACAAATGTGGAACCATTAATGATTTGAGTTTTGCAGAGAATACCCCAAAAGTCTAAATACAACAGTGATATGTGGTAGTAGCAACTTACTTCAGGCAAGAAATCTCTTTCTATAATCTGTTGTCCATGTCTTCTTACTATTTTCCTGTAATAAATTGAGGCATCATGGTGATATCAGGCGTTGGTTAGAATAATGACATTGAAGATACAGACATTTTCCCGCCTGTGTAGTAATTTTATTCATCGAATTTTTTTTTAGCTCAATACCTTTTCATGTCCTTTAAAAACATATTTCAGAGTGGGTTATACTGAAAAACATTGACTGAAGGCACCAAAAAAGCGAACATTTGCAATATCCTAGGACTCCAAGCTACAGACGTCACTCAATTTGGCGGCCGTTTTCTCGCTATTGTCACGTCTGAAACCAGGCGACTCCCACCTCATTCAGTT